CAACTTAAATTACAATGTTTAATTTACATAAGAACGTGATCACCATCAAACATCATATCCGATTGTTCTGATATACCATCATCATCATCAACGCGCGCGCAAAAAATCAAATCATAAAAAACCAGGATGAAAAACTTAATCAACTAATCAAATTAACCAACCAACCAATCAACGAAAAAATAAAACGTTCATTCAAAAAAAAAAAATTATTATTAAAATATTACAAAAAATTATATATATATATACATATATATAAATATTATTATACAAAAAAAGCCCTAGGTAAAATTTGGGTAATGAAAACTTCATCTTCCTATTCCAGAGTTAGAATTGATGGAGTAAACTAAATATTAAAAGAACATACGATAAAAAATTAGGTGTTATTAATTAAGTGATATAATGTAATAATAAAATTAAAATTAATTAACTAGATACTAAAAAAAAGAAAAAAGAAAAAAGAAAAAAGAAAAAAAGGAAAATTAATTATACTAAAAAAAAAAGATTATAATTTTTTTTTTTTTTCATTAAATTATTTTTTAAAAAAATGTCTTTTTTTAAACCTATCCAACATTTAAACCCCAAAATAAAATAAAAAAAAAAAGAAAAAGAAAAAATATAACAAAAATCTCCTTCAAAATCATCTTGATCTCCTCTCCATCCAATACTTTTTACAAAATTTGTGTTTAAAAATACTACTTTCACCACCATTATTATTATTGTTATTGCTTACCCTATAATTATCAAAATTTTCAATTTCTAAAACATCGACAAATCCTTTTGCACGAATTACTGATTCCTCATTCAAACGATTTCTTATATGTAAACGTAATCGTAACGTTTTTAAAGTATTTTGTAAACAATGGACGACAACATCCAAATGATCATCGGTGAAAAAACAATTATCAATACTTAAAGTACGTATTGGAGCCTTTGAACACATCAAGAATTGACGTAATGACTCTGAAGTAAAAGACCATGCACCCAATATATTAAATTCTTGTAGATTTGATAAATCTTGTCGAGCCAATTGGAGAAACATATCATCTACATTAATTTCTGAATTACGTGGACCAGTTAACGTAACAGAAGAAAGGTTTACACATAAAGTAAACAAAGCTACCAAATGATCGATTTCATCACCATCAACGTAAGAACTAAAAGTTTTTAAATTTGGACAATAATTTGCCACAGTTTTAATAACGTGTATGGTTGAATGAGGATGAGGTTTAAATTGTCCAAGATTCAAAGTTTGAATATGATGACCAGAAATTTTAATAATCATGTTGAGAGAATGAGCAGGAGCTGATGAATTATCCATTAAAAAGGTTGAAAGGTCACGGAATTTAGTTTTTGTTAAAGGTTCCAATAATTCACAAGTTAATCCATGACAAGATCTAAAAACAAGTTTTTGTAATAATAAACATTTTGATAAAGGAGTTAAAGGATCCCAACCCCAAAAACTAACACAATCAAAACATATTGATTTTAAAGATTGTGATTGAGTTTGTAATGATTGAATGATAGCAGAGGAACCAACTTCACAATGATGTAATTCAAAGATTTGTAAAGAACGTTGAGAACTAATAAGATTTGCCAAACTTTTAGCTTCATCTTCTAATTCCATAACTTCACGACGAGAACGAGTTCCACACCAACCATTTGAATGATAATTCATAGTAACCACAATTGTATGAATATGATGAGAAACTTCACAAAGAGAATCGAATAATTTTGTTTTAGATTGACGAGTAGTACAAATAAATTCACTTAAATGTGATAAACAATTGATAGCACCTGGATAAGAAGGTAAAGAAAGATATTGATCAGGTATGAAACGATGATTATTAAACCTATCAATTAAAGGTGGTAAAGTAGTACATCTAGAATCTTCATTTCTAGTTAAATGAGTTTTATCAATAGATAATTGTTTTAAAGTAGTACTTCTCCTCATTAATAATCTACATAAATATTCAGTGATTAAACGTTCACGTGGATGAGGTAATATTGGACTAGGAGGCGGGTTACTTCCGCTTGTGCTACTTGTACAACTATGACCTGTGCTTACACTACTTACACTATCCCTATCACTCATAGATTTTCGTTTACTATGATATTTCATAGATTTTGTTAAAAATTTGACGACAGTAGATAATTTTAATTTTTTATTCTTTTTTGATTTTTTTCGAGATTCCATAGCTTCACAAATTTCATCTTCTTTACTAACAACATGAGCGAATTCAATCCAATCCCTTACAGCAGTATAAAATTCGTCCAAATCCAAATATCTTATGAAACCAGCATAATCGAATAATGGTTTTTGTTTTACCGAAGAAGGTAAACGAACTTTATTTTCCATTAATAATAATTTTTCTTTTTCATTCAAACAACTTAAATATACTTGAATTAATTTTGAAGATCTTTCAATTCTCATAAATTCATCACAAGGACAAGAAATTGGACAAGTATATAAAAAATGAAAAGGACGACTCCATAAGAATTCGATTGAGGTCGCACACCATAATCGGTTCACTAATATACATGAATATAATGATTTTTGATCTTTTTCAAGATTTCGAAATATTTGAGATAAACAATCAGTTGGTAAGAAAGGAGCCATAAGTTTTAAAATTATATATATATATTTTTTCAAAAAGAGTAAAAAGTTTTTTTTTTTTTTTTTTT